GACTGTCCATTACCAGTAGATGGATTAGCTGAGAAGCCCTCCAATCCTGCCCTGCCCATGCCTTCACACTCTGTAACCCGACTCATTAGTCCTGACTCCAACCTAGGGCTCACAGGAGGTCAGGACAGATCTGCGCCTGTGTGAACACCAGCCATTTTTGCTTTAGCTACTTTTCAGGTAGGGTCCTGTGCTTTTTTAACCCAGGCTGGCCTTGAACCGAGATCCTTTAGATCTCTGCCTTGTCCTGAGTATCTGGGATCACAGGCGTGAGCCACCACACCTGCTCTCTCCTGTATACTTTAAATCACCTCCAGGTCACTTATGATTCCCTAACACATATCATGTAAATAAGGTGTCATATTGAGAGTAAGACAAGAAAAGAAGTCTGTGTAGTTCAGTACAGACACCAATCTTCTTTTTTCTTTTTTTCCCAGGAGTATTTTCAATCCACGGTTGGTTGAGTCTGCCAATGTGGAACTCACAGATATGGAGAGCCAGCTACTTGGGTCAGGAGAACTGGATTTTAAAATATAGGTATGATGTTTTCTCCTTTCTCTGTAGCTCTGAATAAACCATGTGCTTCCATAGTACACAGGTTAAAGTCACAGTGCTGAAACCAAAAGCACACCCTACCACTCTTGTAGTCTCTCTTGTTTCCGATGTTCAACACCCCTGGCACAGAATGCACTGGCTTTTTCAAAAGAGATCCATGAAATCTATGAAATTCTGTATTTCAAGGGACTCCAGTCTTTGAAGAACTGGAAATGAGCATACAACTACTTGTTCACAAAAGAAATGGCCAATGCAAAAAGAAAGAAAAACAAATAAAACCACCCTTTTTTTTTTTTGTAAAAGTGATTGATTTCAATCATCTATTAAAAAAAAACCCTGAATTTATCCGTTGATATTAAAAAGCATCATTTATAACAAAGCATCACTAAGATTTAAAATAGAAGTTACATGGTATAAAATGTCATAAAATGACTAATAGTAGCCTTCAAGAACATTTCTTTGTGGTTCCAAACTGAAATGCTACAAGATGGATTTAGCATTCAGTGTAAGTACAAAGTAGCATGTCATCCCTGTCTCTCACCTGTGCAGCAATGGTAGCACCCCCTCCTGCTAAGCATTCAGACCCCCCAAGTCTTCCTCTGGCATTCAGACCCCCCAAGTCTTCCTCTGGCAGCAACAGGCTTTCCAACTTCTGCAAGAACCCATCGCCTTAGTTTTTTTTTTTTTTGGAAAGTTTCTATATGCATGTTTTAAGTGGGTAATTTCCTGGATAATAAGCTGGAAGAGACCAACCCCTCCTGCCCCCTGCACCTGCCTGAAGCTCCCAGAGCCACCTTGCCTTCAGTGTAGTCAATGCATACCTTGAGCCAGAGGCTGAAGGGGAAGGGCAGGCTGCCCGGGCTGGATTGTTAGGAGGCCTTGGCGCTGCAAAGACAGGAGGTGCTGCTGCTGGAGCTGCTGCATCTGTAAAAGCTGCTGCTGAAAAGCCAACTGCTGGGTAGCCACCTGTTGTTGCTGTAAGAGACCAAGAGGGAGAAAAATGAGATGGCTGCTTCCCAAGGAAGGTTAAAAGTGTGCATGGTTCAAAACTCACCGTCATTATCAGATACTGAGAATGGTCACTAGAGCTCCTGAGGGCTCCATGTCAAGGTTTAAAAGGGACAGAACATACCACCTCTGAGGGGGAGTGATGGGGGGTGGACTGTGCTTTCCTTCTGCTGCCTGCTCCCCTAGAAGATCACTCCTCCCTCAAGCCACCTTTCCTTCCAGCTGGAAAAGCCTGAGTTTGGTAGTCAACATGTGAACTTTGAGACTTTGAAATCTGTAATTGTTCACACTAGGGAGACAACTGCCTCACTCTAGTCCAGAGAAATTTGAACCCTGAACCTTTGAGGTGTACAAAGAACAAGGTGCCTCCTTCCTGGCCTGCATGGGTAGGAGCCTTTAACTACTCTGTTTATCATTTCTGACATAAATAAATGAGAAAAAAATCAGACCTTTGAAGAAGAAAAACTTCATCTAATATTGTTAATTAGCCATGACAAACGATGAAATAACATTGTAAATCTTTCATAGAAACAGCCACTAGATTTTAATTACACACATTCATAATTTAGCAAACAACATCGTACTTGGCCAGGAGTGTTACATATGAACGACACTCCAAGCTTCAGATCCTTAACTTGGCCTTCGTCTCATACACCCCTAGGTCTGCTTGCTGGTCCTGTGTCCCCGCCTGCTTTGTTCTTGAAAAGAAGGGGCTTTATGGTATGATAAATATCTTTGTTGACTGGACAATGACAGGAGGAAAACTTTTGTTGTGTAAAACATCAATACATCATTCCTGTGTTTAGCAGGCCCTGCTCCAGCCAAAAAAATTAATGTAGATTTCCTCAGTAATTATCTGAGTGATAGAAAGATAATACAGCACAGTAGTACAATAAATAGAAGGAAATTATCTAATATCCTTAATCTGCTAGGAATCATACCAAGGTGGAGGTCCACATTATAGCTAACAATTAAAAGGGAAAAATTAACCCTTCCTAAACTGGAACCAAAAGAGAAAAAAAAAAATCCTCAAGAAAACACCAAGATCTCTTCCTAATTTGGGGAATTATTCACAAGGTCAGAGAATTTTGCAACTAAAAGGACTACCCAACCCTGTAAGAGCCTGCCTGTTCTGGTTAATAACTATACTTTACAAACAACTGCATTCACTTAACCTAACACATGACCTTGATCTGATACATCCATAAAATGGAATGTACACCGAGACCTTCTGAGGCAAAGTTCAAAGGAAGAGAAAAATGGTGGTTTCCTTTCAGTCTCCATGTAGCTTATTTTACAGTAAAAACCATCATTCTCATATTAGCAACCAATTTCAGACTTACTACCATGCCACTGAGAGAGTTAATTGAGTTTCACTCCAAAAAACAAATTCTATACCGGGAACAACAAAAATTTAAATAAATTTAAATGAAAAGCCAGTGTTTTCATTTTAAGAACAGCATGCCTAAAATGATCCAATTGTTTTCACCCCTTCCCAAGTTATCACATTAATGTAAAACCCAATGATAGTTATATTTATGTCAAAATGATTTTTTCACTTCTTCAACAGATATTAACTCAGACAGTTAAAAAACGGGAGGGGGAAGGAAGAGAACCAACATTACACAATAAAAGAGGGGGAATTAACTCTTGTTAAAGTAGAATATAATGGGGGGGCAGCTGGAGGCAGGGAAGAGTATTTCCTGGCTTACTGTAAATGAAATGTTTTAAAAATTATGTATTTATATAAAATGACTGGTGCCTTTTCTGTTGTCTCTGTGGCCATCCCTAGGAAAGGCTCATGAAAGCTGTCCACGTCTGAAAAGCCAGGATATAAAAGTATACAAGGCCCATTGTCCGAAGAAAGAATTTAAAAGCAACACTGGTTGCCAAAGTGTGCTCCCCACCCAGTTACCAAACACAGGATACGAGTCCATTTGTTTACTTCTCACAATTGAATGCATACAAAAAAGGTCTCCGCACAGTCCCCTGACAGGTCAGTAGTCAGTGTTAAAATGCTCAAATGCCCTGATAAACCCTGCATTTCAGATCCCCTCCCTAGAGCCACAGTCAAAGGTCTGTTTTCCTTCCTTCAGCTCCTCCCTACGCCTAACATAAACTGTCATAACTGCCGGACAAACGGCCCTTTTTAAAACAATCAACTCAGCCCACCTCACCCCCACAGGATAGCATCTTTTTTCTGAAGCTTGATTTAAAGTGAATTCTGCCTCAATTTTCCACAAGACTTTCTGTCAATCTTACGGGGGGCGGGGGGGCAGTCCTTCAATGGCATATTAGGTTACATCTCCACCCCCATCAATGAGCATTTATCTTCTAAAGGTGACCTTGGGTTGGACCCAATGTGGAGCCAAACTTTCCCAAAGAAACATTTCAAGACAATTTTAGGCAAAAGAGAGCAAAGGCAAATGGTTGTGATCAAGGGTCTAGCATCTTATGGCAGAGGTAATCAAAACAAACAAACAAAACAAAACTCAGAGGAAAATGTACCTGAAGATATAAAATTATGAGCCACTTATGACTGGGGGGGGTTCAGTAAATTAATATATTTCTTCCATCTTTCAACATCCAAGTTCAAACCTTGTTAAAATCACAACCACCAAGCCACATCACGAAGCTGCTACCATGTGACTCCATTTCATTCTAGCACTAAAGGGCCTCCATCTTTAAATGATAATTTGGAGAGACTGAATCTTCACATGTCAGGAAGATGGAATTCCTAACCACTGTTAACAACAGATCCTGGCCAGTCCACTGGTACCTGCCACACTCAGTGAAATCTAAAGTGACTCTTTCTCTCCACTTGTGTGCCTCCCTCTAGGGATATTCAAGGCCACATCTCCTGGTCAAGTTTGCTGAGAAATATATGACACAGCATGGACCAAAGCAAGCCTAGTGTCCTGCAGATGCCAAAATGTCCTGGAGATACCGGGTCTCACCTTCTCCTGGCGTAGACCAAAGTCCTCTCTTGTCACTCTCACTCCCTGCCCCATCTCAGCTACCACTATCATGTCTGCACCCCCCTTCTGACAATAGCAATTTGGGAGAGTTAACTTTTATCCCTCATTCTGCTGTGGAACTTTCCCGATCACATTTCTTTATCAGCCCTTAGAGCTCATCTGAACTTTCATGTTCCCCCAGCATGCAGACATGCATTCCAAACTATGTCTAACAGACCAAATAAGAGGTTAATAAGAAGTGGCAACAGAAAGGAAGAACACAATCCCTGGTAACTGATAGGAATGACAGTGGCAGCCCTTTTTTGTTTGTCTTCAAATATAGAGTTAAAGATCTTTAAAAAACTAAATTTTGATGCCTTTGAAAAGAACGAAGCACAAAATAACAACAGGGGGTTATTGCCTGCGAGCCACAGGGGAGAAACTCCATAATTCTTATTCTCCCTTTTGAAGGCTGTTAGAAATCTGATTCAAAAAAGCAACAGCAGAAGGGGGAACCTCTTGAGGCGTAACCATTTCCTGTGATCATGCATAATGTGCTTCAAAAGTGGGTTTTACCAATTCTGTTGATCAATTGCACCTCCTTCCTATCCCTTCTTTTTTCTGCTGTGTTTACATCTGATGTGACTCAATGACAAGCACTGTCTGAGACTGTGAAACAGGCCTGTCATGTTGATTTATGGGCGCATCAAACCACAACTTGTCCAAAGTGAAGCTCGCAGTTCATTAATTAGAGAGTTGTGACTTTGAAGTCAGCTTTCAGACTGTGGTTTTTAACATTTGGCTTAATTTATATGCTCTTGAATGTGGATCTCCAAGGAAAAAAACTGAAATTCCCTTCTTGTCTTTGAACTTCTTTTGACCGCACAATAATCATTTCTTTGTCCAGGGTGATGCCTGCAATCCCAGAGTCATTAACGCGCATTGAACTGCCTCTGATGAGTAAGCCCTGCTGAATTAGAAAAACAGCCAGGAAAACAAAGCTGAGAGCCTTCTGCACAGTGATATCTCACAATTACATGCCTTCCCTCCCTGTGCCATTTCCATTTTAATTACTGTTAGTCCTTTAGATTTACATTTTAGACACTTTTTAATCTGTTCCCTTTTTTATTATAGCAGCACCGGTAGCGGGCCACTGTACTTAAGGTTGTGTCAGCATTTTCATTAAAACACCTCCTCCCCTTTACCCCAAAACTGCCCCTACTCTATGGAGGTTTGCAGGCAGACTGCTAAACAGGACTCCAGGGTGAAAACTTGACAGAGCCTGGCATATATACCCAATTTGTGGAGAGGGAGGAGCTGGAGCAGGGAAAACATCTGGGTCACTCCTGCGTGTAAAATTAGTACTCCCCAGCATCCGTACTCATGCAAGAGACAGGGACGTAGAGCTCCCTGGTGAAATGTGCTCCATAAGAATGAAAGTTGTGGCCAACTGCTTAGGGCCAGCAAAGAAGCCATGAAGGAGGACGATGTGCTGTCTGTGGAATTATAAATTGTGTTATCCCATGGAGAACACCTTGGGCTTTTGGACCACTGTAAGAATGTGAGCTGAGCTGAAAATTCTGGATTAGATAGATGTCCTGAGGCATCCGAGCCCACACAGCCTCAGCCACAGGCACTGCAGAGCAGGTGAACTAGAAACTCCTGAGAAGGCCTCATCACACTCAGGCTAGCAACTACCTTCTACCCAGGTAGTGCAGCCTAATGCAGTAACTTATGTACACTACAAAGAACTGGACACATAGAAACTTTTATAATGTACTATGTTTTTTCCCCAAGAAAATACATATACCCACAAGCCAGAGTCTCCCCTGACTTTACCTCGTGCTACCTAGAACATGCCAGATATGGACAACTTGCAGGAGGAAGTTAAACAAAGATGGAGCTATTTGATCAAGTTCTAATTTTCTTGTTTGTTAGTCCAACCTCACAAGAGGTTAGTCTGCCAATGGAAAAGGCCATCACCATCTGCCCAAACTTTCTGAGTTGGCAAAAAAAAGAAAAAAGTGTGTGTGTCCTAGAAAAATTTTACCGAAAGCACTACACTTGCCCTTAGCTACATGCTGGGTCTGCAGAAGGATCCAGGACTGTTCAGCCCATGATCCTGCTCCCGGTCCTCACAGGGGCACACGTGCGGCAGGGGTGTAAAATATGTGGCAGCCAACAAATGGAACCCAGAAAAATCTGAGAGCAAACAGGACAATAACTCTTGGTCTGAAAGCTGAGAAGCGATAGAGTCAGCTCAGTTGTGCAATCATTTAAAAGATGAATGACAGTTTAATAGCACTAGATAGTCCTCGGGGATCTGTGGTTTGAAAGTAAAATAGGTATCACCGGTACCTCTTTCGGCTGTTTTCCAGCATGCTGCTGTTGGAGAAGTTGGAGCTGCAACTGTTCTTGCTGTTTTTTATAAAACTCTTGAAGCTGCTGCTACAAAGGAAAGAGAGGATGGTAAGTGACGGAGGGCAGCGCCAATCCACTGTCCCTTCTGGTGCCATGCACAAACTGTGATTTGAAAAATAGCATCCTTTTCTCTGTAACGGCCTGACCTTTAGTTTGAAACTCGACAATAAATCCCATGCACACTGACTATTCTTGGAGTTATTGTTTGAGAACTAATCTCAAAAATGAACTGATGGAAAACATACCATTTTCTACACAAACTAATTAAAAATAAGGCAAGGGATGACCTTTGATTGTACCACAAAGCTGCAATGCCCTTGCTGAGAGTCTTGTGACTCTCTCCTGCACGCTTTCTAGATGATGGGGGTGGGCTGCCGGAACAAGGGTCAGCATTGTACATCCCAAGTGCGAGGTGCATCTTTTGCATCCTGATCCCACCAGCCCACGCCAATAACTCCCACGGCTGCAGTACTTTATTTCATCTGATCAGTGCATGTGCCTATGAAGTCTGAAGATTAGGTCCCCACGGCACCATGACAGCTAGAAGTTTATTTCAACAGTATCAGCATATATGGAAGGAATGAGATCAACTCTGTGCCTGGAAATTAACCAACTTCGAAATGTTTCATGTTAAAGAAAAAAAAAAATTCTTTCCTGTTAGCTTCTGAGTTGAAATGGGGACTTCAAGAGCTGTCATATTTAAACCTGCTCCCAACGTGCTCCTCATTTTCCTTTGATTCACACCATTTAGAAGCCTCTGGGCTTACCAAATAAAAGAGCATAAAGCCATGTAAGCCCAAAAGATCTTTTCCTACCAAGTCCAATTACAGCCCTAATCTCAGTCCATGGGGAACTGTCCAGGCCCAAGCCCTAGGCACTCAGGCTCCTCTCCCTCAGGGATGCAAATGCAGTCAATTACTTAGGGCCTGATTTGTTCAATGCCACACCTGCCCTGCCCCGCTTATTCCTCAGTGGGAGCAGCTGCTCAGGTGGAAGGGCGCTGTGAGTGGACTCTGCATGCTGGGGGAGCAGGGAGGAGGGAGCACCGTTACCTGTTGGAGCATGAGGGCCTGCTGCTGTTGGAGGAGAACTTGGAGCTGCTGAGGGCTCAGCACTTGTTGCTGGAGGATCTGCTGCATTTGTTGGGGAGTGATAACTTGAGGTGTCATCATAGCCACTGACACGGGAACCTAGAATGGCAATCAGTGAAGGATAAATAGAAAGCCAGGATGTCACACAAGCAGGCAGCCTCCCTGGTTCAGGGTAGGCTGTCACCAGCCTCTTTAAAGAACTGACCAATCCCTGACACATACGTGTGTACCCAGAGGGGACACAGTCACAAATTCTATGTAACCTGTTACGGATATATCATCATCACTGTCGCCATCATAACCATCATCATTACTGTGGAGGCAGTGCTGGGGATCCAACGCAGGGTCCTACACATGCTAGGCAGGTGCTCTACCACTGAGATACACCCTCAGCACGAGAATTTGTTTTAAATAAAGGAAAATCGGGAAGCCCTGGGGAGGTTGTATGCAGGTAAGGAGTGATAAATAAATGCTGTCAGGTCTTGGGATAAAACAATCATAATTTATTATTAAGAACAAATCCTCAGCCAAAACGAGTTGTAAGACATTAACCCAAAGTCGGATTTTGTTTTAGGGAAGAAGGCAGAAGGGAACCAACAGCTTTGCAGCTGGAGTGAACACGACCCATTTCCTCTGTGGACAGTGATTTTAAGATCAAGGAATGCTTACTCTCGCAGGTAACAGAGAACGGGACACACCTTTTGAACTTGAACACCTAAACACAGACACTTCCTATGATGCCTTTTACCCTTCCTTATTCACCCAGCACACAGATGTCTCAATTCTTTCATATTATGTTCGATACCATTAAAAGCCACTTTCCATGACATTTCAGTGACAAACAGCTACAGTGATGAACTTGATAGCATTTCATATTTGCAACTGTTAACACGTTTCTGCACGGGCATCTTTGCAAGGAACCTGCACACTGTATCTGAAAGGATGATGTCTTGTTCAGATAAAACACTGACATTAAAATGACAGGCTGTCTTGGCCAAGGTTACACAAATTGTATTCAAGCGGATACCTAATGACAATGCTATGAATTCTGCAAGCTTTCTAGAATGTAATTTAGCTATTCAAAATAATCACTGCACTTGTGTTTAATTTGCAGACTACATGAGAACCATTTTGTCAGTCCCCGTAATGCAAGAAGACTATTTCATGAAAAAATCCCCCCCAAATAAAAAGATAAGGAAAGAAAAAACAATGAAAGAAAAGACAAAACCTGTATGTCTTCTAAGAGTAATATTTAAGCATCTTACTTTTCTTTGGTTTCTAATCAGACATGTGACAGCAAGAAGCTAGAAGCAGTAAAGGATATACTTTGTTAAAAAAGATCTGCTGTCATCTCATGTATTACAATAAAAGGTAATAACATGTTTTGCACTTTGCCTGTGTGCCACTTAAAAAAAAAATCCCTCAGACAATAGCTGATCAGAAGATAAAAGAATTAAAAAATCTTTCAGGGGAACAGTAAGCAAGAGAGAGAAATGCAGTATTAATTTTATGTAACATAATGTCTTAATATGCAGTTTATCTTGACTTTTTCACATGATTTGGCCTGTCATTTGCATAGCGAGCTCTCATTCCTAATTTCACAGTCATTATGCTCTGATGTCCTGATTTCTCAGCATCACTAATTTTGATGAACTAAAAATGGTTCCTGAAGGTCAGATTCATGTACAGTGAATGTTCTCCTCTGTTGTTGTGACACGGTTTGTGTGTGTGTGGTGTGGGGGGGTGTTGATGTGCAAGTTTTGTATGTTTAGAAAACACTAGGTAGAACATCTGAAAAATTTCATTAACCCAACTCTGGAAGGTCATCCATGAATCCATCCTACAGCAGTAGCCTTTTAAGTGTAGATGTAGAAACACTGTAATTTAAAACAGATGGGCATGTCTGAATATCTTTATATGCAAAAAGGGACAGATGTATATGAATGGATAAGTTATCCTTTTAAAAAGATAATTCGCAGCATGAAATACCGCCAATGATTGGAACAGTGAACTTGCATTCAGTCTAGGGCAAACGCCAAGAAGACATTATCAAAACATCTAGCCATCGACAAATTAATTCCAATTAGTCCAGTTTGTGTTCATACAGAAGAAACTTGTTCAATTTTTAAATATGCACTGAGTGCCAATGGTTATCTTTTGAGCTGCTAACGCCAACATATCACAATAGAAGTTTACTCTTTCTTGAGGGGTTGCATCATCATATGGGGAGTTTTGATTGAGCAAACAAAAGAACCGCGTTTAAGGTTTCTTTTTTCCTCTGCATTTCTTGGATGCTGTACAATATAAATATTCCCAAGCCAAATTTCTGGTGGCGATGAACAGGAAAACACAGGAATAGGGTGGTGTAAAATCTAGCTGGTGATCAATATGAACTTCACAGAGTTTTCACAGAAATAATCTTCTGGCCATCATTTCTAGAACAGTTATAGAAATCCTATGTTCAAACGGGAGGGCTACATGAGCTTTTGTGGGTGATGGAAGTGCTGGTATTTTGAAGAAGATGGTGGTCACCACAGATGTATGTCATTGTCAAAACTCTCCAACTATATACTTAAAAAGACCGTTTTATAATATATGAATTATAGCCCAATGAAATTGATTTAAAATTGATTTGTATATGTTGTATATTTTATTGAATTATATAGTAAAAGTTTTTTTAAGGTCTAGTAAAAAGTATGCACCTTTTTAAATGAGAATCACCATTGTGTTTCTCAATAAAATAAAAGGGACTGTGAATAAAATATGGGGGTTAGGGAAAAGACTGACATACAGAGAGACTTTTGCTACCCTTACAGACAGCCAGTTACTTCTTCATTGTTCACAGTTCTGCTGCAGCACAGTGGAATGAACTTGACTCTCCCCTGCTTTTTCCCTTTGGACGGTTTTGATGGAGGTGCTGATGAGTGATAAAATACTTCAAGCAGCAGGCACAGCCCAGGGAGGGTCAGGAACAAGAAGCCTGAGTTACCCTCCACACTGGCTGATCACTCTCTGAATAATCAGAAGTGGGCCATTATATTCTGATGGCCTGGACTTGGCTTTTACTATCTGAAACCACATTTTCACACCAGTTAGCTCTGAGTCTCCAAAGTGGGCTTGAGCTTAATTTATAAATGCAATAAAACTGAGATTTCCCCCAAACTTTCTGCTCCAACATGTCAGGAAAAGAAGTTACAGAAAGCATGCACAAACATATTCAAATGGACCAGAAACCATGGTGGGGTGGAAAAGGAAAAATAAAAAATCAGAGCAGTTTAAGGCTTTAAATAGGTAAGAGTTACAGCCTATATATCCACTCCCTTAATTCCCAGCGTCCAACTTTCTCATGTAGATAGTCCCTACTAACACTTGGAATCAAAGGGCACGCGGTACTGGCGAGGGGCTATTACAGCCCACACTTTATTGCCCATTACTACTGAGGTCATTAGCAGCAAGAGTGATTGTAGCAGTCTTAACCTATTGATCACTGTAACTACTATCATTTAATCCCGTGTTGAATGTCTGGAAAGCAGCTAAAGGCACACAAGAGAGAGTGCTTTAGCATTGAGAAATATGGCCAAAGCTTAGAAATTACACTTTGATTCATAAAATCTAGCCAGTGGTTTAAATCAATAGTATTTAAAACAGTCATGTGAGTTTTTAACTACAGTGGTCTAATATTTATGGGCCCCTCTTTGAGAGTACTCAGTGAAAATGAAACTCCCCCCCTCCCCACCCCAATACCAAGCCATCCACCTTACCCTCCTTGAGATAAAAATATTCATTTCTGATGTTTTGTGTAGCTACAGGGCTCATGCCTTACCTGGGAGTTCAAGTTAATTCTTTATTTCCTTCTCGTAATACAATTTAAATATAAGGCCAAAAAAAAAATTATCCCCGATACTGTAACTACATTAACTGTTTGAGTATATAGAAATGAGTACATTTTATGACTTAACAATGAATCACAGAAGGCAATTTATGAAGAACTAGAATGATTCGGTCTAGCTGCCTTCAGGGATCAGAAATTCAAATTAAACTTCTGGCAGACATTTAAAGAATGCTAGCATACAAAACTGAATTAAAAAAATACACATACACAGTTAACACTCTTTAGTGAAGTTTCAAGAGGAAATCATGAATTAAAAAAACACACCAAATGATACACTGTTGACTGATACCAACTGGGTGTGGCCAATTCCAGGTGCACACAAACCCTTGGGAATGGCAGAACTAACAGCTGTGCTTGGGCCATGGAAAGCTGCTAGTATGGGCCTGCTGCTACCTAACACCAGCCACGGGAGAACCATCGTGAGTACTCACAAACGCTGGGAAAAGCCCAGGCACTGCTGTGTGCATTTTGCCTGATACAGCTGGCTTTTTCTCTAAAATGACTCTACCATCATCTGAAAGCTTGAAGACTATTAAAAAAATCTATCTTATTATTTTCCTTTAGGCCCAAGGTGGGAAAGGCAGTGATGGGAGGGGGAAAAATTTGAAAAGCAAACAAACAAATAAAAAAAAAAAAACACTCATAGAAACAATGCTTCTTCCTAATCTAGGAGACAATTGAAGGAATTGGGTGGGAGGCGAGAAGACACAATCTGAATACTGAAAATAACACGTTATCATTTCTTTCTCTCCCTTTAGTTTACACTCAAGCTAACTGCAAGTAAACACTGCCCAGTGTAAATACACACAGATTGCACGCACATTAGCATCTATTCATAATGGCTATGTGTACAAATAATAAAACTGGGAAGTCAAAAAAATTGTACATACACAGTTCTTTTTCCAAAAATCTTCTACTCAATTTATTCCATCCCATTATTTCTAAAAAAACTATTTAGAAACCAATTTTAAACACTGATCATTCACCACGTGTATGTCCCAGGCAACTCACTTCCTTTCTATACTTCAGACAGTGTTTGGGTGAAAACTGATCAGGTTAGATGGTGTCACCTAGTTAATCACATAACAAGAGCAAAACAAATTAAATTAGAAGGCTCCAAAATGTCAAAACAAAACCAAACAAAGAAAATGGCTCTATTTTAATAGAAGAAGAGGAAAAGAAAAAAGAACAACAAATTTTTGAAGAT